ATACATCAAATATATGGTGCTTGGAACACAAATAAATAGACAATAATGAAATTAATCGAATATTGTGCTGAAATTTATAGGTACATGATGTTATAAATCATACTAAACATAGTTCAACGAAAGCTCCTTATTAGTTGTATGAAAAAAGGGGTCTTTGGTTGGAATCGAGCCCGCAATGTCCATATGGGAACAGCAATAATGTATAAATCGAATATAATAAGTACTCAAATATATAGGAGCATGGTGTTATAAATTGTATCGAACATAGTTGATCAACGAATGATGACATTGTATAGATTTAAATATTGATTTTTTAGCTTTATTACTAAAATTAAAAAAATATATATTCAGTACATTTTCGACTTTACAATACTGGGGCGGATGCAGGGAGGTGCAGACAGTGCGATCACAACCGCCTCTCNNNNCCTCTCCCCCCCCCCCCCACCCACACTGGTACTGGTACGGGCATAATGCGCCTCTTCCTTGCGGTTATAAAGCGCAGTTCCTTTCCCTGGTCACTGGGTCCACATGCTAAGTGTTGCTGCTGGTAACCAGAGCAGAAGCAGGCAACCCCACCAGGTACCCATTTATACTCATGGGTGGAGAGAATCATGCAGATAAAGTGTCTTGCTCAAGGACACAAGCGAAATGCACAGCGAGGGATTGAAACTCCGACCTCGAGGTTGGGAAACCAAACCGTTCCCGCTTCTCCAAACCCACCCCTCCCTTTTAAATTATATGAAGAAAAATAATAATTTTTTATATTAGTACAAATTGAGATGAAAAAAAAGGAAGACAGGATACAAGATACAAGGTGTGACTTTAATTTGAGGGAAAATTGAAATGTACAATATAGTTTAAAGTAATAGGCCTAATATTTCAAATGTTTGTACTGCACCAGAATACGACGTATTACAAATACAGATTGATCCTTTTTCAATTACATATCAAATTCAAAAAATAGTAGAACAGGCTGAAATACAGTTTGAATGTACGGCACAAATTAGGTAAATCAATAAATTAATGGGTTATACAATTCAATTAATGATAAATAAATTAAGTTAGCTTTATACAAATTGAAAAAAAAAATAAGTTAGCTTTATACAAATTGAAAAAAAAAACCAAATTGATTATCTGTTTATATACACAAGATACAAAAAATGAAAAATTGAAAAATAAGGCAACATAAAAATATATGATTATACAATTAAGAAAATAATTATTCATTAATAAATAATAATTATGTAACAAAATTGCATAATATTGTAACACAATAACTATCCAATGTCATATTAAAATATAGACGGTGCACGAAAAAAAATATATATATCATATAACACATAACTGTCTGAAACGTTATTCTTTGGGGTGGGGCCTTTGTTCTGACAAAGTTTTTGGGACAAGTAATGAACTCTCTAGGAGTTGGGAGGTTGTAGTTTAAAAGAATTCATCATGTAAAATAAAACAAAAATGAAGCGACATGTATACTGACAAAAGGACAGAGTGTGATTTTGAATATTATGATGAAGGGTTATTCTTTTTAATTTCATTTTATATTTGTTAGAGACTGAGCATTACAGCTACATAAAGAGAGTATAAGCAAACATAATTAAATTTATCATAAAGTTACTTTCATCCTTCTTCTCCTTCTCCTTCTTCCTCTTCTTCTTCCTTTTTTTCTTCTTCTTCTTTGTTGTCCTCTTCTTCCCTTTCTTCTTCTTCTTCATTTTCTTCTTCATTTTCTTCTTCCTTTTCTTCTTCTTCCTATTATTACTTGTTTCATCATCATCTTCTTCCTTTGCTTCTTGTTATTCTCTTTCCTCTTCTTCCTTCCTTCCTTCCTTCCTTCCTTTCTTTTTCTTTTTTCTTCTTCTTCCCTTTCTTCTTCCTCTTCTTCCTCCTCTTCCTTTTCTTCTTCTTTTTCCTCTTATTTTTTTCTTTTCTTCTAAAAATATAGTAACAGTCTATAACATCACTAATTCTTCTTCTTCTTCTAAAAATATAGTAACAATCTATAACTTCACTAATTATTTTACAAGTAGCTTTTATTTATTACAATCTTAATTTTTTTTTTATAGAACTTGGTAAAAGAAATAGCTATTTGTTTCTAAATAGGTACTCTAATATGTTTCTAATAGGTCGCAACTCACTGAAAATTATTTGTGGCATGAACTGTGTGGCCCACAGTTAGGGAAGCCCTGAAATGTGAACTGACTTCAAATCGGTGTTTTATATTTATATTATGCAACCGATACCATTCACAAGCATCCATGTCACATTAACTAAATAAACGTATTGACCAACACTTCCTATGTAGGCGAATTTAGTGTGTCGGAGAAATAACATTTTGTTGTTTAATTTGTTCAAAGAAGAGGTGGATTTAGCTGTTGATGAGCATACTTTAATTAAAAATGGACATTGTCAATGAAACCTCTGTCAGCAAGCTATCTGACGACGAAACATCCTGTCAGATAACTTCATAGAGGCTGTCTGACAGCGACCGAACATATTTACAAGAGACACAATAGATCACAATAGAAATAATCATCTACTAGGGCGGATGCAGGATTTGGCGGTAGGTGCGAAAATTTGATGAAATAGTAACCTAATAGAATTTAGGGGGATGCGACCACCGCCC